GTGAGGGGGTGAGGGAGAGGGGGAGGGGGAGGGAGAGGGAGAGGGAGAAAAAGACACTCCAGGTGGTGCCCAGAAGAGAACAGTGCCTGACCCCAAAGTCAGGGAGGCAGTATAGTGCAGTGACAAGAGCCAAGGCTTTGGACCTCACACAGTGGTTTCCTCCGACGCCCCGCCCTGCTGAAGTGGTGTGAAGATTAGAGAAAACTGTATCCTATAAGGAGTAGCAGTTATTCCTGGGGACAGGTCTGGATATGTCCCCACCCCCCACTGCCACCGGTTTCTGAACCCAAGAAGAGATGCCCTTCTGAGCCCCAGGACAGAGGCTTCAGCAGCTGCCCTGTCCTAACCCCAACTGTCATTTCCAGATTCCTGGGCTAGTGGCTTTGGTCTCGATGAATCTGTCAAGTCCGTAAACTAGACTTCAGAAATCCTCACCGAGGGAGGGCTCACAGGTCACGGCTGCCTCTGGCCTGGTGACAGCCAGGGGCCTTAGCCAAGTCCTTCTGAGGCCTGGCCCTCTGCGAAGGGGGTGGAGGGCCGGAAGGCCAGGCCTGACTGCCTGTGAGTGAGGGCTCCTGCCTCAGTGCCCCGGGCATGTCCCCAGGGGCCTCTTGGCACAGCTCTTGCTCCCGAGAGAGAGGGAGGTAAAGCCTCGGAGAACTTTTAATAACTGCAGTGGGCGGTGCCTCAGATTCTTGGTCAGGTCCCAACTCGGAGGAGAAGCCAGCGGTGTGGCTGGAGCTGAGCCCTGGAGTCCACACTGGGTCAGGGATCACTCAGGTCTCTGCAGGGTGGGACTCGCTCAACTTGTGGATGACAGTGATGGGCAAAAATGGCCCTTCTCTCCACTTAGCCCTCCTCTAGAACATTGTATGGACTGGAAGGGGCTCCTGGGACCAAAAGGATTTATTGGAAATCTTAGTAAACGGGAGGGGTTTTTCTTTGTTTTTTTGTTTTTTGTTTTTTTTGTTTTTTCCAGAAGCACTTTGTTTTTGTGGTGCTGAACCCAAGGCTTTGTGCATATACTTGTGCATATATCAAAGGCACATTGGTAACCCTGTTTGTCAATTTTACTTTTGAGTTAGGTTCTCACTAACTTACTTGGGCTGGTTTGAACTTGCGATCCTCCTGCTTCAGTTTCCCTAATAGTGGGATAACAGCTGTAAGTGACAGCTGGAGCACGCATCCCCTTCTTTGTTGAGGTTCTGTGCCGGGGAGGAGGAGCAGGCAGGAGGCAGGCTGGCATCAGAGGACCACGTGTGCAGCAGAGTCGGGGCAACCCCAGAAACTGAGGCCAAGCCCAGAGGTTCCTCCACACCCAGAGTTTGCAAAGGGTGGGGCTGAATCTGCCAGAGGTGCTGGATGCAGGGGTCTGTTTCTTCACCGGAATACCTGCTGGTGTTTTAGACTGTCAATACGGATCCTTCCTTCGGCGTATGCTTGAGCTGAGAGCCATGGTGTAAGGCCAGTGGGTGGAAGGGGGCCTGTCTTGGTTTCTCGGTCTGTTGCTTTGATAAAATACCCCGATAAAAACAACTTAAGGGAGTATTTTGGTTCATGGTTCCGGGTGACAGCCCATCACAGTGAACAAGTCACAGTGGCAGACACCCGAGGCAGCTGGCCACGTTGCCTCTGCGGTCAAGAAGCAGAGAGTGATGTGTGTGTAGGCTCAGTGCACCTTGTCCCCTTTTTATGCGGTCTAGGGTCCCAGCTTAGGGGATGGTGCTGCCCATAAGGGGTATGTCTTCTCACCTCATTTAACCCGACAGAGATGCCCGCTCACAAGCATGCTCGGGGGCCTGTCTCCCAGGTTATTCTCCACAAGTTGACAGCTGAGATGAATCATCACAAGACCTAAGCCTCCAAGGCATTTACACAGTTCCCGAGCCTCCTGGGAGCTGTCTGTTAATACCGTGGACTTTCTTAGGCTCTTTTTGGGGGGGGGGGTCATGGGAAAGGGGTGGGGTGCCCCAGCAAATATATTTTTCTTTTCCTGCATAAAAGACACCCAGGAAGTTGTTAATATGTAAATTCCTGGGGCGGGGGGAGTCCAGTTCTGCCTAACAGAGACAGTGCAAAGCTTCAGACTGCATTTGTGAAACAAGCTGTGAGGTGATTCTGAACCTACCGGCCAGCACCACTCAGGGAGAGGCTGGTGTGAGGGGAGACTGTGCTATGTATGGTACATGGTCCATGCTGTCTGGTATTCTCTGGGGAGGGGGGCTCAGGCCTCCTCTCCTGAGCCTCTGAATAAGGTGCCAGTGGTAAGTCCCATTCATTCTTTTTAAAAAAATTATTTATTTATTTATTTTTAAAGATTTATTTATTTATTATGTATACAGTATTCTGCTTGCATGTGGCCCTGCAGGCCAAAAGAGGGCACCAGATCTCATTATGGATGATTGTGAGCCACCATGTGGCTGCTGGGAATTGAACTTAAGACCTCTGGAAGAACAGTTGGTGCTCTTAACCACTGAGCCATCTCTCCAGCCCCAAATTATTTATTTTTTAAAAGATTTATTTATTTATTATGTATACAGTGTTCTGTCTGCACGTATGACTGCAGGCCAGAAGAGGGCACCAGATCTCATGATAAACCACCATGCGGTTGCTGGGAATTGAACTCAGGTCCACCAGATCTCATTATAAATGGTCGTGAGCCACCATGCGGTTGCTGGGAATTGAACTGAGGACCTCTGGAAGAGCAGTTAGTGCTCTTAACCTCTGAGCCATCTCTCCAGCCCCCATTCATCCTTGAAGTAGCCCCTCTATGGTTATTTTTCAGGTTCATGCCTCCTGATGACCCCCTGGGCCGCCGTGGACCAACCTTGAGCAATTTCCTAAGCAAGAAGCCAAGGCCCCCAGAGCCATCTTGGCGGCACTGTCCCTATGGTGGGTAGCACGCAGGCGTTGTGTGTCCTGTCTTGGAACTGGTCCAGACAGCGTAGGGGCGTGGTGGGAAGCGTTAGCCTGCCAGTCAGCAACCTGGGTCCCTGCCCCAGGAAGCTCTGCCCTCAACCAGCTACCTGACCCTGGAGAGAAGCCTAGCATCTCTGGACTGCAGCTTGCCCACAAGGTCGCTCTAGGGATTGACACCCATGAGGGCCGGATGTAAGCCACATGGGGGGGGGGGCGCAGGGGGGGGGCAGACCATGCATCCCTCAGCTCTTGTTCTCAGTCCATTCACTGCATCCATCCCTGACACTTGATGTTTTTATCCTGCCCCTGATATCTTCCCCCTCCAACCTCACTTTTACAAACTTGGTCCATGCTATCCATTCAGAGTTAGCGGTTTCATTCTAGCTGTTTAACTATCTCTTTCATTAACCTGCCTTGTCAAGTCATTTAATGCTCCTGGCTTTTGTGCTTAAAGAAGTTCGTTAAGATATGGGTGACATTCAAAAATCCTTTCTTGTTAAAATTAACGGAACTTTCCCTCCAGGCTGGCCCAGGTTGTCAAGGTTCACTCTGGGAAGTGCTTGGGTTTTATATGGCCAATTATTCGGTCGTTTGTTCTAACCCCAGTTAGAACGGGTATAGGGAGAAGGCAAAGGTTAGTGCAGGGACGGATGTGGCCATTAATGAAAACTGAGGCAGCGCTAGAGGCAGGATCTTGTACCATCAGCACCCCTACTGTGGGCTCCATCCTCAAGGTCAGCCCTTTCCACAGGGGTCCCTGGGGCCGAGGAGGCTAAGAGTGACTAGACCGAGTTTGGCCTCAGACTCTGCTCAAAGGCAGTTTCTTGATGGATGCTTACTCTGCTGGCCTTGGGGGTTACGGAGCTCTGAGCACTCTCTCCCACCCATCCCAGAACACTTGCCGCCTCCTGGGTCACCTTCCAGATCTGAGGTCTTTTGACGGGCCAAAAGGCAGCAGAGGACCAGCCTGGGGAAGAGCATGGGGCTAGCCAGGTATTGCAGCCTCCGCTCACTCCAGGTCTCATCCCGCGCCCTCTCCACTTTGCCCTCTTTCTAGGCAAGAAATGCACTTACGGGGTCAAGTGCAGATTCTACCACCCGGAGAGGCCGCACCACGCGCTGCTGCCTGTGGCGGACGAACTCCGCGCAAAGACGCGGGCCCGGCCGAGTGGCACGGAGGAGCAGCGGCCACCGCCCAGTGTCGGGAGCAGCAACGCAGCACCCCGGACGCTTCCCCGGGAGCCCGGCGCGCAAAGTCTCCCATCGGCGCCGCAGCCCGCGACCCTGGGCGCCCTGAGCCAGAGTTTCTCGCGGCTGACCTTCAGCGAAACCCCGGCTAGCTGCGTCTCGTCCCAGACGCATGAGCCCGACTGGATGCCCACAGGTGGCCCCTCGTCCTGGGCCGTGCCAACCCCTCGCGCGGGCAGCGCTGCCGCCCTGAGGTCGCCGGGGCTGCGAGGCCTCCGGACTCTGAACAGCCCGCTCTCGCTCTCCTCGGGCGACCTTGGGTCCCCAACCTGCCCGCAGGCCCAGCCGCCAGACGGACACCCTTCCAGGGACATGCACAGTGACTTGCCTCCCCAGCGCAGATCCATGGATGATCCGTGGAACCTTCTCTCCAGCTCCTACCGTTATCTGAGTCACCCAGCCTGGGCCGAGTCTGCTTGGGGCGAGGACGGCTTTAGAGGACCTTCGGGGTCAGCACAGCCCGCAGCCAATGGTCGGGGAGCACACACTGCCTTCTGCAGTGTCTTCCCAGCTGATCAAGGGATGGCCTCGGATGCTGCGCTCTCCGACCTGGTTCTGCTCACCCTCCAGCAGAGATCCCAAAGGACTGGTGCGCGATTGGGGGACCCTTAAGGGACAGGTTCACAACACTGCAAGGAATTGCAGAGGCTTGACTTGCACCTTGGACAGGTGGGCTACAAGACGATTGCCAACCTGGATGTGGTTGGTCCCCCGTCAGTAGGAGACTTCCTTCTCATCCTCGATGGTGGATACCCTTGGCGATCTTGGGGATGCTCCCAGGGGCTGCTGAATGGGCAGGATGCTTTCTGACGTGTTCAGAACACGTCCGTGTTTGGTTCTAAGCACCAGCCACAAAACGTTGCAGCTGGCCATCACCACAAACCAAAGAGAACACCCCAGTAATCAAGATGAGTCTGATACAAACTCTTGCTCTGTAAGCATGTGTGTGTGTGTGTGTGTGTGTGTGTGTGTGTGTGTGTGTGTGTGTATTTAAGATTCTAGGAAGCCATGAGAATGTGGGTCATGGTTGAAAGTTTGAAAAAGACTGGCAGACAATCTTGACTTTCGTGGCACCAAATGATCTTTAAAAGCCTGTTCAGGTGACATGGGAAGGAGGGAGCCGATGCCTGGGGTTTTCATGTCACCCTTGCTAACCTCACTCATAGGGGAACCCAGTCTTCTGTAAATTTTTAGTGTGGGGCTGTGAGGTGCTGTGGGTGCCCCCAGGGGCACTTGATCCTAATGGTCTTCTGACCAGTTCTTCATTCCTTTTGTGCATACATACCATACAACTCAAATATCACATCACACACACACACACACACAGAGAGAGAGAGAGAGAGAGAGAGAGAGAGAGAGAGAGCGAGCCTTGCTCAAGGATCAGCCTATTTTGTTTCTTTCAAGACAGGGTTTCTCTGTGTAGCCTCTGACTGTCCTGGAACTCACTTTATAAACCAGGCTGGCCTCGAACTCACAGAGATCCACCTGCCTCTGCCTGCTGAGTGCTAGGATTATAAGCGTGGGCCACCACACCTGGCTTGTTTTTGTTTTTTTAATCAGCCTTCCATTGTGGTGAATCTACAAAACAAACTTCCAAGTCATACATTACAGAAATAAAACTCCAGTCTATCTACCACCCCTTCAACAACAACAACAACAACAACAAAATAACCTCCAGGTGGGTAGGCATAGAGTTGGATTCTGGTGGAGGTTATTGTAACTTTTACTTAGCTGGATCTTTTAGACAACTTTGGGTTTGGGGGAGAAGAGACCCATTCACTTGCAAGGGACAAGAAATGAGACCGTGATGCTGGAGCATGGACCCAGCATCCTTAGGGATCCTGGCGTCTCTAGGCAGCATCCACGTGTTCTCGTCACAGTGGTATCCTGCCAGGTTGTAACTCATTTGTTCATGAGGGACGTGGTATTTCAGCTGGCTGGGAAGATTATGAAGAGCCTGCCAATGGCCTCTGTTTGCCAAAGCCTCCACGTTCCCCGCAGCGTGGTAGGTGCATCGGGGAAATGCCACTTTATTAAGAGGCTGTGCTTGTTGTTGGCACAGCAAAGGTTTGCCTTGGGGAGAATGCTGTTGTGGTATTCATGGTAAACTTGACTCCTTGGCACCAGGGCAGCCACATGGCTTCCTGTGAGTCCTCCCTCTTTTAAAACATTCTTAGCATGGCTTCTTGTAGATCTGTTCCTCATTCCCCTTTTTTTTTTTTTTTTTTTTTTTTTTTTTTTTTGGTTTTTCGAGACAGGGTTTCTCTGTGTAGCTTTGCGCCTTTCCTGGAACTCACTTGGTAGCCCAGGCTGGCCTCGAACTCACAGAGATCCGCCTGGCTCTGCCTCCTGAGTGCTGGGATTAAAGGCGTGCGCCACCACCGCCCGGCTCATTCCCCTTTTCAAAGCGGACACTGCTCTTAGAGTGTTGCTTTTTATCCTTGAGGCCCCTGTCCTGCAGAGGATCTGCTTTTTCTAGATCATCTAGATTTTTTTTTTTTCCCTTCAGGAGTGTGTTTCATTTCCATAAGACAGGCTCATCACTGTTAGAGCCATGTTAGATTCCCGGGCCCTGTTCCCTGCTGCTAATCAATTGCAATGCATTGCAAATGTACAGTTGGAAATGTTTGAACTGCTTCCTCTGACGGCAAGTTTGAGTTTTAGTAAGCTGTAAAGCTATTCGATTTGGTTCACTCTGGTTAAGACAGGTACAGGGGGAGACAAGAAGGGGAAAAACCCAACACATCTCAAGTGTAACCACCTTTGGAAAATTTCCAAAGTCTTAGTATGTCTTTGCGACACAAATACATAGATGAGAAGCATGAATGGACCATCCCTGATTGCATAGCTGTTACCATGCTAAAAAATAAATGTCTTTTGCCAGACCTGGACTCTATTGTCAAACTGTATATCCATTTCTCTCGTCAGCTTTTCTCTCCTCCATTTTTTTTTTCCCCAAGTTGAACAGGATGGGTGAGAGGTCTTGGATAATGTCCAGTTTGGGCAGTTGCCCTCCAGGTTTCTCCCTCTCTTGGGGTCAGATGTGAGGGGCCAGAGCCTACCTTTTCCCCAGAAGATATGCAAGCGCATGTCTTCAGCAATTGATGAGCAGGCCATTCCCAGGACCACAGGCTGCTCACCAGTTTGCTAGACCCCAATCCCCATTCCAGATCCTCAGCAGAGTCTCCAAGCTTAGCTCTTCCTGTTAAGCCTGGAAGCAGAGGGAGTTCACAATGGCTCCCAACAGAGAGGCCCAGGCTGCATCTTCCCCAGAGGCCCCATCCGGAAGGAGGTTTGAGACCAAATCACAGAATTTAAGCATTGAGCAGTAGCCACAAGAAGGCTGCTTGTTTTAGTGTGGTTCAAATAAAGTGAATCCCAGCTTTGGTTTGATGTGAAGTCAGATGGACTGCAGTGAACCAGATGTTGGTTGGCATGGGTAGTTTGGATGAGGACATAAAGGCTGGTGGCCTCTGGAGGAAAGTCCCCTATTGGGGTAGAAGGGGAGGAGATCTTGAGGAGAAGGGGCATTAAGGAACAAGGAGTATACAAGAAGGGGGCAGAGGATTTAGGGAGTTGGAGAGATTCATTGGTATCACAAATCACAAATGTACATGGAGCCAGCATCGGGTGTATAATTCATGGGGTCTTGTGCACAATGAAAACATAGGGTCTCTTGTTCTACAGGACTGTGAATTTCAAGATGGTGACAGCATAGTGTTAAACCCAGCACATAGTCCTTCTGAGTACAGGGTCCTGTGTAGCAGCACAGGGCACCCTCTGTGAGACTCTAGAAAGAAGTCAAGCATGAGGAGATCATTCTTGAACCTAGAGTGAGCTCACAGCAAAACACTGAAAGAGATCAGTACCCAACATATGTGCGCTGTGCGCGCACACACACACACATCTTATAGCAAAAACAAACAAAAATCTCCATGGGCATCCAGAGCAGGTGCTACTCCAGGCCTCTGCTTGAGGACCAGGGGTGGTCCTGGGTGGTCCCGGTGGTCCCAGTGGCCCCAGCCCACTTGATGCAAGATACCATTGGGCAGAAGAAACACACAGGGAATCGGCCACTTCCAAATGGGCAAGAGATAGCCACACCTGGCAATAACACTGTATTAGGCAAGGTTCTTTGGCAGCCAGTTTGGTTTACAAAACCAAATGGCAGGAGGCCAGAGAAGGAGGCAGCATTCACGGCTGCGAGCTCCGCCAGGTGTCTCTTGTCTGCTTCCCTTTGATTCTGCTTCTTTGATTTTTTTTTTAAATTGTCTCTTTCTAAGCTTTTCTCTACACAATGAGAGTCATTCTGCAGGCAGGATTAAGCACATGTCCTTTCAGCTAAAGATTCAAGAGGCAGCCTTGACAAAATCCTGGGCAAGAGTTCTGATTGACTTGTTGTGAGTCTTGTACCTATCCCCAAACCAATCACTGTGGGAGAAGGTGGTAATGGCTCCAGCCCGGACCTTATGCCCGCCTCTGGCCAGCACATGGGTATAAATTGTGATTGGTAGTTTCTTTATGAACCTACAGGGTGGTTAGACTCTGGAAGGAGGTGAGAAGATTCCTCAAAGAGGGAGGATCATTGTCTAGACCGATGAAACACATGTCCATAACTATGCTCAAAGCTGGGGATTGGACCAAGGCTTAGGATGCCCCCAGCTATCTCTTGTCCTACTGGGTGACCCTCATATTTGCTCACCCACAGACAATACAGGCAGGGGGAAGGAGGGAGGTCTCCTGCAACAGAGCTTGGAGTGCTACCCTGGCCATCAAGCCAATTCTGGGATCAGAGCCAGACAAGTGTTTTGGTAGACCCCCATTAAAAACCCCTATGGTTGTGGAAAAAGCTCTTTGGAGTCAAGGCTGGCCTCGTTCCCACCAGTTTATGTTCTGAGTTGATTTTTCAGAATTCTCACTGTCACAGCAGCTAAGTGTGATGGAGATGGGGGGAGCAGCTGGAAACGAGGGGCCATGGACCTGACCCCACTGGATAATGAATTTGTTGTGGGTTCCTGGAGACACCTCTCTGTCCTCATGGAGGGATGGTACCCATGCTTCTCAGAAGCAGAAAAGGTGCTGAGAAAACAAACCAAAAGGTCATGGGCAAGTGCTCAGAAATCAGCTGAACGCCATGCTGAAGTCTGGCTGATGGGCTGCCATTGTCTGGTGCTGCTTGACCGACAGATTGACAGACACTGAGTCACCACCCCAGTGACCTACTAACTGATGGCTTCTGAAACTGAGGATCACTGACAGAGACAGATTGACATGGACACTAGCAGGCACCAACGCCTTGACTAAATTAACGTCAATTCACTGACAGTGACTACCTCATCGAATGGTTGACAATAGGTGCCTGACTGACATTGATGGTGACTGACTGACTGAGAAAGATAGACGGGTAGATACCTGTTCTGATTCACTGACTGGCTTATATCAGACAATGACTAACATTGACTGGCTGACATTGATTCATTGATCTGTGGACACTGATTATGACTTTCTGATACTGAGTGACTGACATTGATTATGAATGCCTGGCTGACACTGAGTGACTGACATTGATTATGAATGCTTGGCTGACACTGAGTGACTGACATTGATTATGAATGACTGACACTGAGTGACTGACATTGATTATGAATGCCTGACTGACATTGAGTGACTGACACTGATTATGAATGCCTGGCTGACACTGAGTGACTGACATTGATTGTGAATGCCTGGCTGACACTGAGTGACTGACATTGATTGTGAATGCCTGGCTGACACTGAGTGATTGACATTGATTATGAATGATTAGCACTGAGTGACTGACATTGATTATGAATGCCTGGCTGACACTGAGTGACTGACATTGATTGTGAATGCCTGGCTGACGCTGACCATGACTTCCTGGTTGGCACTGAATTACTGATGCTGACCATGACCAACTGTCTGATGCTGCCTGACTGGTTAGATAGTCGGCACTCATGGCTGTTGAGGATGACTGCTCCAACAGGTCACCTCTTCATGATAATTCTGATTTTTATCTGCAGTCAGATTGACTCTTGAATATGGTACTTGTGTGATTATGATAAGTCACGTCAAGCTCCAAAGTTAGTTCGTTTCTGAGAGAGGCAGTCAGAGCGCATTTTCTCCACAACGCTTAGGCCGTCGAGGAAGGGAGCGAGGCTGTTCTTGCACAAAGGTTTCATCCTTGCGGCCTGCGACCCCCACTCTTCCCCGTCCCCATCTCTCATTTCCTCCAGGTCTTGCTTCTCTCAAAACCACCCGCTTGTGAGTCCTCTGGGCTCCATGCTCGGCTTGGCCATGGCTCCTTTGCTCTCCCGCCTTC